AGACCCACACTAACTTGACAAATGGTATGTCCTGGCAGAGGAAGCAGAGATCGACCTACTGAAGAGGCACCGCTGAGGAAAACAATGGAGCCGCTCACCGTCTGAGTCGACACGTGAACCAGTGAAACCATCGGCTACAGCCAAGAAGCAAATGGGGTGTTTCAAGTGCGGGAGAGAGGGGCATCGGACTGTAGAATGCAGCTCAAAAGCCCCCCAGCAAACCCAGACAGATCAGCCAGCCAGCAAATCCAGGAAGTCTCCAGCTAAGCCAAAAGAACCTGCCATGAAAATGATGGAGGCCATGGAATTCTCTAATTCTGCTCATTGGGGGAAAAAACTCCAGCCTACCCCGCAGGGCCAGTGGTCGCCTCAGACGACAGCACGGAGGGCGAACCACTGGTAAGCGGAATCATTGCATCCATCCTCAAGACAGTGACTATATTAATTCCACCCATGCCCGAAGCTGTCAAGATGAAAGCTTTAATAGATTCTGGCTGCACCTGCTGTCTCATTAACCCGACGCTAGTGGGAAACCTGGGCATTCCGTCGAGACTGGAATAACCAATCTCATTTGGCCAGTTAGATGGGTCCATAGCAGGGGTGTGCCAGCTACCCTAGCCACTTTACCAATCCACCTCTCCCTGGGCAAACATGAGGAAGACATAACGTTTGTAGTGACCCCAGGCATGGAATGCCCGATGATCCTAGGGATGGAATGGTTAAAGAAATGGAACCCTGGGTGAATTGGAGAATGGCAGAAATCAACTTCCCGAAAGGGGATCCTATGGACTTAAAACCCCAAGGGGATCTACCAAAATTAAGAACAGAAAAAGCATCCATGGGAGAGGAAAAGGGGCTACCAGAAATACCAGAGGAAAACTTCTTGCTGAAGTTTTCAGTGACGAGAGGGCGGATGAGCTCCCCCCCCCCCCCACGGACTGTGCCATAGAATTCAAGCCCGGAGCAAAACTCCCAAAGCCCAGATTATAATCCATGAGCCCAAAGGAGAAGGAGGAAATGGAAAGATTCATAAAGAAAAACCTAGAAAGGGGGTTCATTGAACCTGCCAAGCCTAAAGTGGCCTCTCCGTTCCTCTTTAGAGAGAAGGGCGGCTCTTTATGCTTATGCATGGATTATAGGCTCCTAAATACAATCAGTGAAAGCAACCTATATCCCTACTCCTCATGAAGGACATGTTATCACACCTCTCGAAAGAATTTTTTTTACTAAACTAGATCTAAGGGAAGCGTACTATTGCATGAGAATTAAGGAAGCGGATGAATGGAAGACCGCATTTAACTGCCCAATGGAGTGCTACCAATTCAAAGTCTTGCCATTTGGATTACAAGGGGGGCCTGCAGTATTTAGGCAATTAATCAATGATGTATTAAGGGAGCACCTATTTAAGGGCGTCCTGGTTTACTTAGATGACATTCTTATCTACACCAAATCAAAAGAGGAACATGTCAACTTAGTCAAAGTGGTTTTAAAGAAACTGCGAGCCGCCCACCTATATGCCAAACTATCGAAATGCAAATTTTAACAGGAAAGGATAGACTACCTAGGTTATCGCACATCCCCACAGGGCATTGAAATGGACCCAGAAAAGGTCAGAGCAGTATTAGAATGGGCACCACCTCACACAAGAAAGCAACTGCAAAGTTTCCTGGGTTTCGCAAACTTCTACCGCCAATTTATCCCCTCATTTGCCCAGATAGCCCTGCCCCTCACGAACTTACTAAAAACGAAGGGAGCATCCTCAGTAAAACCTAGCCAGCCACTAAAATGGACAATGGAATGCCAAGTGACGTTTGAGAGATTAAAGAGACTTTTTTCTGCCGAACCAGTACTGAGGCACCCAGACATGGACAAGCCCTTCGTAATACAGGGATGCAAGTGATGTAGCAGTGGGAGATGTACTATTACAAGAAAATGATGAAGGGGTATTGCAACCCTGTGCGTATACATCCAAGAAACTCACCGAAACGGAACAGCGCTTGCCTGTGTGGGAGAAAGGCATACGGGATTCAAGGTGCCAGTTCCTTGAAGGCAATAAAATCCCTTTCCAGGTGTGGACAGACCACAAAAATTTGGAAGCCTTGAAAACACCCAGAAAGCTCAACCCCAAGCAAGCCCGCTGGTCCAGCATTTTCACCAATTCTACTTGATGCTCAAGCATTTGCCGGGGGGAAAGAACTTCCTGGCAGATGCACTATCTCGCATGCTCCAGTATAACAGCACGCGAGCCAACGACTCTAAACTGATGATGATAGAATCACAATTGGCAATGCCGGTAACCACCAGAGCCCAAGCTAAATTAAAACCACATCTGGGTAGCCAAACCAGAATTGAATTCCGGAAAAGTTTGGAAACAGATGAATGGTTCCAGAAAAATAAACACATGTGCACAATGAAAGACGGGCCGCCTTGGGTGGGGGAAAAGTTATATATACCAACAACTCAAAGAGTCACATTCATGCAACTTTGCCATGATACAAAATCAGCAGGGCATTTTGGATTTGTAAAAACATTACACTTAATTAAACGACAATTTTGGTGGCCATCCATGAAAAAGGACATAGAAGGTTACGTGGCCAGCTGCCCAAAGTGTACAACTGCCAAGAGGTTGCAAGGGAAATCGCCCGGACTATTACAAACAGTGGCAAATCCCTCAGCCCCCTGGAAGGAAATAGCCATGGATTTTATAGTGGAATTACCAGAAAGCAATGGGAATACTGTTGTCTGGACGTTCACAGACTTGTTTTCCAAACAGGTGCACTTTATCCCTTGCCAAAATATTCCCACACAAAAGCCTTAGCGAAACTTTTCGTGCAGCATATTTACAGATTGCATGGGGCACCCCAATGCATCATATCTGATAAGGGAGTGCAATTTACATCTGCATTTTGAAGGAATTTTTATCCTTCTTAGGGACCACTCAGGGACTGACATCTAGCCATCACCCACAGGGGAATGGACAAGCTCAGTACTTGAGCAATATTTAAGATGCTTTCTTAATTTCCAACAGTCTGATTGGACGGACCTACTCCCTTTCGCAGAAGTGGCCTACAATAATGCAATCCACTCCAGCACAGGTTACACTCCTTTTCAAATAGCTACCAGTCAAAGTTTCAACCCCATGCCAGAACTAACCCCAAACGAACCGGCAATCCCATCACTGAAAAAACGGATGGAACAATTACAAAACACCTGGCCAATAATTAGAAAAGCACTAGATGAAGCTAGGCAGGCATACAAAGCACAAGCCGATAAAAAAAGAGTTGAGCCTACACCATTCATTATAGAAGAAATGGTGTACTTATCTACAAAATACCTAAAATCCCCACAACCCTGTAAAAAACTTGGACTGAAATATATAGGGCCTTTTCCAATTAAAAGAATCATAAACCCAGTAACAGTAGAATTATAATTACCCAAAATCTTAGGCAAATACACCCAATTTTTCACTGCAGTTTGCTGAAAAGAGAACATCAGTCACCTTTATGGCCAAAAATCCCCCCCCCACCACCTCCAATCATGATGGAAGGCGAACAACACTTCGAGATAAAGGAAATCCTAGATTCTACGAGATATCATGGGGGAACTCAATACCTAGTAGCATGGAAACACCTCCCTGCCTCACAAAATGAATGGGTCCATAAGCGTCATGTCAGAGTTCCGAAGCTATTAAAGAAGTTTCATACAGAGTATCCTAACAAGCCAGACTAACTTTTATGTCTGTTTTGTTTTCTTTACAGGTGGAACTCTCTTATTTTTAAGGGGGCAGGATATCAGAATCCAATTATATTTCATTTCTAGTTATCTACTATGGAAAAAATCCATTTCTGCTCTCTTTGGATTCTATCATACTACGAAGGGGAAGGGGGATGAGCGGGAGGTTTTATGGCTCTCACTTCCTTCATTAAACTTCAAAGGGACTGGATGTTGATTCTCACCAAAAGGACTGACCATAACAATATGGCCCTCACCTTTCATCTACTCGCTCTCTGAAGTCTCCCTTTTGCTGGCAGTGAGGGAAAAGGGGGGGAACAATACAGTGCCTGTGGTCTGGAAAAGAGAGGATGAGGATCGTCGCCTGGAAGAACTGTGGGGTGGGGGGCTGCTTGGGAACACTTAAAACATTGAAGGATGGGAGAGAATTCCTCAGATCCTATCTAGCACACCTGCTATCATTTTCTCTTAATAAAGATGCCTGTTGAAAGAGATATTCCAAGAGTTCTCTCTTCTTAAGATGTAAAGTGAGGTGGGTCCTTACACAGGCATAATACAAAGTAAAATGCTGTGTACAACATGTAAAAGTTGTGTTGAACATCAGAGCTTAAAATGAGTATGCTTTTTTATGCAGTAATACATTATTAGGCACTTGTTTCTTCAATCAAATGTTTTGTACTCCTGAAATAACTTTTTTTAAACTATGGATGTATGTATTTCTTTTCCTAAACAAATATATCTAAACGGGCAGTTTGTATACATAATCCCATATCTGTCTGCTGAAAAGTGACTATTATTTAATAGTCATGAATGCTGCCCTGAAAACATGGATCTGATTCACTTATATCACTTATTATATGCCATGAAATAGGTTTTTTTAAAAAAGTACTGTCCTATATTCTCTTTTCTTGTCCAGTGAAGTCCTGGATCTTGGGGTTTTTTTATCAGTTATTTCCAAGTTTGTATTTCCAAGTTTGATTTTTAGGTTAATGGGTCATGTTTTGCAGAGCAATATTTCATGCACTGAGTTGTGATTATGCAAATATCTATTGTGATACAACTTTAAGTTGCTTTGACGTGAAGAGTTTACATGGTTGGTTTGTTCAGCTATTTCCCTGAAAATTGTTTAAATAGAAAGGCAAATTATACGTTCATAAAATAAAGGTAGCATATAGGCTTCCACAACAGAAACTCAGTACAAATTGTATTAAATATTTGTCTTGGATCATATGATGTCTAGCTCTTTCTTTTTCTTTTTTTTTTTTCAGATCAGCAAAAATGAGAAGCAGTAGATTCTGGTTTACTTCTAGAAATGTCAGTGGAACTGGTTAAGACCAAAATCTGAAGGTTTATCTTCGTTGCCCATCACCAGGTGTGCACTGACAGAGGCTACCATAAAACTATTTTGAGTATGAACATCTTTTAAAATGGTATAATATATATATATATATGAAAGTATTGTTTTGTAATATAATTTTAAATTGTTATTGATACTGTATCATTCATTCTACAGTTGTGAAAGAATGAATGTGAATAATGTGTACTGAAGCTGAAAATAGACATTGCTCAATTTTTTTTCAGCTGGTCTTTGAGAAGTGTAATATTTGAGCAACAGTATTAAATTCTGTCTGCATTGCTCAGCCTGTACATCCACAATTGAATTAGTAATATTTGACAACTACAAATAATAAGCTAGTGTTTTAATTATTTAAAAATTTACCCTAGGGATAACAGAACCAAAAGCAGCTGGGCTTCAAAACACTATGCGCATTGTTCATCATTTACATGAGAACTTTTCCAATAATCTTTTTCTGCGCTGCTCCTCATATATATTTTCTCACTCTCTACAAAAAAAAAAAAAACCTACTGCTTTCGAAAACCAATCATTTTCTATGATATTATTCAATAATGTAATTTAAAGGGAAGATCAGTTTTCTCTTCAGATATTTTATATGCACAGACCTCTTTGGATCCAGGCCACCAAAATTATTTTGATTTTTAAAGAACCCATAATTCTGAATTTTATTATCACTTGAATCCACCTAATTCATAATTAATTCATAATTAATTTTAAAGCAAGCAGGCAACAAGCGCTATTTTCCTTTCTCTCATGGGTTGGATAAATATATATCTTTGGGGGATCACAGGCTGCATGATTTCAGAAGGTGAGCCACATCCAGCCCATAGACTGTAGGTTACTGACCCTGTTCTAGGGAATACATCTACAGTTTACTGAATTGTTTCAAGATTTTGTCTCCAGTGCAGATAGAATTACCCGAAGCATGCAAATGAAACACTTGGTTTCCATATAGTTTCATATATTTAAAGTACAACTAGTCCTCAACTTATCATTCATTTAGTAATCATTCAAAGTTAATAACAATACTGAAAAATAAGTCCTTACACTTGCAACCATTACAGTGCACCTATAGTCACATGATCAAAATTTGGGATCTTGGCAACTGACATGGATTTATGAAAGTTGCAACATCTCAGGGTCATATGATCAGCATTTGCAACTTTCTCAGTTGGTTTCCACCAAGCTAAGTCGGGAGGAGGGGTTCTCTTAATGACTACATGCTTCACATAACAACAGTTGTGATTCACTTAATATCTATGGCAAAACTAGTCATAAAATTGGGTGCAACTCACTTAACAACTGCCTCAATTAGCAACAGAAGTTCCAGTCTCAATTGTAAGTTGAAAACTACCTGTAAAATGTTTCCTTTTTCATCTGAACTTGAGACTCTTACTATGTACAATACTAATATTATGGAACCTAAACTGCATAGTTCCAAGATGCAATGAATGTGAACTTTTGTAGTTATTCTTGAGAAAATGAACATTTGTTGGTATATGCTGTGCACTGGAGAGAAGAAAGCAGACTTAAACCAATAGGGTCACTTCCCTATTAAGCCTTTAGGGGCTACAGTGGGAAGAATGGATTGGTGAAAATCATTATCCTCTTTTCTCCCACAAAACTCTGCTGAACCATTAGCTGAAGCCAACTAATATAAACATAAAGGACAGGAGGGATGGTAAGAAAAAAGAGTTTTATTTATTACCCTCAGTTGTATCTTCTAAAAAGATTTGATCACACCTGGGCTTGAATATCAGTATTAAATATGAACAGGAAAACTATGTTGGGGATGTCTAATTTAGGAAATGGGAATGCAGAATCTGAGAGGCAAGGGTCCGGTTGGCCATCACAACCTAAGATGTATTTATGTTTAAGAAGTTTAATATTAACTAATGGGGAAATAGTGAGCAATATAAGATATTATTCTTTCTTTCCTGCTCCATAATGCAATTCTGTAAAAATCTCTTGCATTTTATTGTTTTTCTTTCTCTGCTTACTCATAGGTTTTTTTTGGCGTTCTTTAATCATGATCATAATAGAATCTAGGGTGTTTTCCTGATTAGTTCCACATCTGTTGTACTTTATTAGTTAAATAGGCATTAGTATTAATAAGAATAGTTAGCAGGCTAGCTTTATTAAAAGTCGCTTTTATGATTGTATTGTTAGAGATAGAACTATAATTTAAAAAATCAGATTCTAAAATTCAGTATAATTTAATTAAATGTTGAAATTTACAGAGCAACATATATACCAGTATTATTAATTCAATTAAGATTCAGTTGTCTTAGAAGTTAGGCCTTCTATTGCTTTAAGACAGGTATTGGTTACTTTTTATGATTGGAAATGTTCAGAATTCCCTCCTTTAGCATATTATAATACTGAATTATTCAAGAAATGACCAAATTTGTGCTTGATAAATACAAATTATGTATCAAACTTTTTTACCAATAAATAACTCCATCATTCTGTACTTAAGTTTTTAGAATGACTTCAGATTTTTCTGGTGGCCAGTTGTTGTTAAGCAATCAACAGTCTCTTGTGGACTTGATTTTTTTTCTTCCTTAGATGCCATTTCTTCCTCACATTTTTGAGTTAAATATAATTCATAGTGCTGTATAGCTGCAGTTTTACTATAGCATTAAAACACATTTATAAAGAATTTATCAGTTATATTGGCAAAGTGCTAAATAAAATTTCTACAACCTCTTTAACTGCAATTAGACTAAATCTAAGAGTGAGAAGTATCCATGTACTTAAAACGTATTGTACTTCTGCCTACCTAAGACCAAATAAAATTGTCCGTATCTTAATGTATTTAGCTAAAGTGTTGAATATTTGGATATTTGTGAAAACACCTAAAAATAATTTTGTGCCAACTATTTTTATAAGCTTTGGGTTTTAAAATATGCATTCTTTAGAACTTTTTTCCTTAAAAAATCATGTATATGTAAAAAGAGTTACAGCAATTACTTTCTACATTACTAAACAAAGACTTTTATACAAAAAGAAATTTTACAATGATTGTATACTTTCTACTTAGCAGTAGCAGCAAAGACTTCATTTGGATCGCATAGTAAATTAATCTAAGACACTATAGCAGTGGTTCTCAACCTGTGGGTCGGGACCCCATTTGGGGTCGAATGACCATTTCACGGGGGTCACCAAACAATGCAGTCCGCCATTTTTTTCCCCTTTTCTTTAGCTGTGCTACTCCCTTTTATTCTAATGGCTTTTGAAAGCCAATAGAATAGACTCTCTTGAATAGAGTCTAATTCTATTGGCTTTCAAAAGTCAATAGGAATGTCCAGGCTGTCTCTGCCCTGCTGAGCCCACCAAAAGTCCCATTCTGCAAACGGTGCTGCACCAGTTGAGTAGTCCTCGACTTACAACTGGTTGTGTAGTCCTCGACTTACGACCGGTTGGGGGTTGCAGCATTAAAAAGGTTGAGAACCACTGCACTATAGGGAAAAATATTGCCTTTTTTATTTCTGCCATACCTTTTCCCTTCTAGACATATCTCTGAATATTTGAAAACCCTATTGAACAATATTAGATAGATTATAATTTTCTCTTATAATTTCAAGTGGAAATTATGAACATTAAATTCAAGTTTATTGAAGGATCTAAACCATGGGTATACTGTCTACTGCAAAATCAGTGAGCAGCAAAAAAAGACTCATAAATATTTAATCTCTACCCTGTAGCACCATGTTCATGCAAATGAAAGTTCCATAAATTTCCAGAACATATTTTGATGTCAGAGGGGAGGGAGAGGAAGAGGAAAAATCCATTCATTGATTGAAATTTATGTTCACAGATGTATTCTAGTTGGATTCAATATTATGTTTGTAGTAGAGATCCAAATAGGCATAAAAGTTGGGGAGCTCTCTAGCAATTAACAGAAAGGAAATACTAGATTATTCAAAGATGTAGATATCCTGAAGTTATTCTTCCCAACTGTTCAAACATTCAGGAAGAGGGTTAAAAACAAAAACAGGACTGTTGGAGCATCAGCAATTCAAATCAAAATTCAAAGTAACATTCAAAATAAAATATCTAACTAAGAAAGTAAATAGAAGGCCAAGGCTTGATTTACTGCTCTTGCCCCAACAGTCTTAATAAGCATTACAGCCTAAACTGGAGGTGTATATGTAACTCTTCACTTGTATAGTCCCTGGCTCCCTTCCTTTCTTCTTATGAAATACTTGCAAGTTGAGGAATCAACTTTCTTCTCTGCTTGGGCAATTTGCTAACCCAGGTAGCAGACAGAATTTAGTTTAACTGACCTAATAAGGATAATTCATCAGGTGCTTTCTTTGCAAACTTCTTTGCCATCTTCCCTCAGCCTTCTTCTTCAACCCCAACCTGCCCTTCTTTCAAAGCTGCCTTTATGCTCTGCAAGCACTGCTGTGGGTTGCTGACAAGGAGGTTGGTGTTTAACCTCTTTTTAACTTCAACTCAGGATTTACACGACCCTTTTTGATAGGTTTCTTAGGCTTCATATCTACCATAGGGTAGGAAGGGACCGACCATACTTGCTTCTTGATTGCTCTGATAACTTCTTTCCTGACTTGACTAAGCCACATGGCTTAGGACTATCTTCTGGCTCTTAACACATCTTAGTGAAGAATGGGCCATCTGTTCTAAATAGCTGCTTATTTGGCAAATAATAAATTTCAATATAGAGATAAAAATACATTCTTAAGAGAAAAACAAGGAAAAGAAAAAAAAATCAGATGTGAAAAATAAGATTTTTTAAAAAATTAAAATAAAATTGATGTTAATCAGGAAGAAAAGCGTTAGGTTGATTTATGTTATCTACAAGAAACTACCTTTTTCAGGGAAATAAAACAGGTTTTTGTCATTTTTAGTATATGTTTTATGATATCAGACATTTTAAAAATTGATCGCCAATTAGGAAGATTGTACAAAATATATCAAATTCTGTAAAACTTTAACTAAGATAGGTCTTACTCAGCTTATTATGGCATCTTCTATGCTTCTATTTTTCTTTTCTGAAACTATGTCAGTTATTCCAATCTATTTCTCTGGCCTTGCTATCTGTGATCCTATTTTAATCTTATATATTTTAGGGTGATAAAAATTAAAGCAATTGCACAGTGCCTATAGTACTAATATTCAGGTTTAGGTAACTTGGATATAAGATATTTAAATAATTGGCTAGTAAATATTAGGCCATTTTCATACGTTAAAACATTGCATAGAAAAACGGAGGAGTTTATCACTTCAGAATATACCTGGATGATCTGCATCTGTGAATATTCTCATAATATTTTAAAAAGTCTATATTCAGAATGATAAGATGTTAAAGAAGGAGCTTGGTTAAACTTTTTCTGACTTGTAAATAATAAGAATGATTTGGATTGCCTGTTCTGCTTTTATTTTTATATAAAGTTTTGGGTTTTTTTCCTTTTTTTTTTACAGATTGTTGCTATTTATTATGTAGCTTTTTTAAGACTATTCAAATTCTCTTTGCAAACCATGTAGGAAAAAAAGAAATGTAAAAAAAATTAATAATAATATAAACATGAGACCCTTCAAACATGCAGATCTTCCTTCTATTCTGTAGTATTACTTCCATATTGCTGTATCCTATAGCATTCATTTTCACAATGCTATGAGTCAGACAACAATCCTTTGGAAGTATATATTAGTCAACTTGAATTTTGATGCTAAAATTTCATGAAAACGTACATAAATTAATTCAAAAACCTATAAAGCAATATGAGGTACTTCAGAGTACATGTGGATCTGTCCATCCTGAGCAGTGAATTTTGAGCTGTAATAAATAGTCTAAAAAGCGCCTACATATATTACATTAGACCAGCTGAACCTAATTTTATATCTGCTTTATTCAAAAGCATCACATAGCAAGTAAACTTCAAAATTAAGTGTAGTTACAAATAGTTGTTTCTTATTTTTTTTTCCAGTCCCCTTTTGCTTTCTTTAACGACCACATGAAACTTGAGAAGCCATCTAAAGCTAAATCATTTAGTGGAGTTGGGCAGGTCCCAAGTGTCCAACAAGAAGGCCTGGTTTAGGCTGCGATGGCCACTGTCATTCCTGGTGATTTGTCAGAAGTAAGAGATACCCAGAAAGTCCCTTCAGGGAAACGTAAGCGTGGTGAATCCAAACCAAGAAAAAACTTTCCTTGCCAACTGTGTGACAAGGCCTTTAACAGTGTTGAGAAATTAAAGGTTCACTCATACTCTCACACAGGAGAGAGGCCCTACAAGTGCACACAACAAGACTGCACCAAGGCCTTTGTTTCTAAGTACAAATTACTAAGGTATTAAACTCTATTTATTTTTCAGATTATATTATGTGTTGGCCATTTAATATATATCTGTGTACACTTCAGCTGATTTTTCTGAGAGGAAATGTTAATTTAGACATCAAGTTGTACAATTATAAACTACAGTGCTTAATATTATAAACAAATCTGAATTTGTATGTGTGTATTTGAAAAGAAAAGTTTAAACAAGTTATATAAACTTGTTTACCAAGGAGTGAATGGACTGAGCACTTTGGGTATGGCTATAACAAGTAATACTACATAATAAAATGTTAATGTAACTTAAAATCATCAAAGCATCAGTTGAATAAATTAGCTTATAATGTGTGTTGCTACATTTTAGTATCATATGTACTGTCTGTAGTGACATGACTTATGTAAATTTCTTTCAAAAATATTTAGTATTTAGGTATCATAAAAATGAGCATATGTACCTTTTGGTCAAAATAAATACTTACAGAATATATCTGTGTTTAAAGGCATATGGCTACTCATTCTCCTGAGAAAACCCACAAGTGTAATTATTGTGAGAAAATGTTTCATCGAAAAGATCATCTAAAGAATCACCTACATACACATAATCCCAATAAAGAGGCCTTTAAGTGTGAAGAATGTGGAAAGAACTACAATACGAAGCTTGGATTTAAGCGTCACCTGGCTTTGCATGCTGCAACAAGTGGTGATCTCAACTGTAAAGTATGTTTGCAGACATTTGAAAGCACAGGGGTGCTGCTGGAGCACCTAAAAACTCATGCAGGCAAATCATCAGGTGGAGTGAAGGAGAAAAAACACCAGTGTGAACATTGTGATCGACGGTTTTATACCCGAAAGGATGTCCGAAGACACATGGTAGTACACACTGGAAGAAAGGACTTCCTCTGTCAGTATTGTGCACAGAGATTTGGCCGGAAGGATCATCTAACACGGCATATGAAGAAAAGTCATAATCAAGAACTTTTGAAAGTCAAAACAGAGCCAATGGACCTTCTTGACCCATTTACTTGCAATGTTTCTGTGCCTATAAAGGACGAGCTGCTTCCTGTGATGTCTTTATCTTCCACTGAACTGACATCAAAGCCATTTACAAACACTCTACAGTTAAATCTATACAACACACAACTTCAGTCCATGCAGAGTTCAACATCTGCACATCAAATGGTTGCCACATCATTACCTTTAGGAATGCCTTGTCCAATAGATATGGAATCAATCCACCCTTCTCACCAGCTTTCTTTAAAATATCCACTCAGTTCTACCTCATATACAGTTTCTATGACTGAGAAAGACCAGCCATTGAAAGGGGAAATGGAAAGTTACTTACTGGAACTGCAAAGTGGTATGCCTTCTTCATCCCAAGATTCTCAAGCATCATCATCCAAGTTAGGGTTGGATCCTCAGGTAGGTCCACTAGATGATGGATCTGGGGATGTTTCTCTTTCGAAAAGTTCTATTTCTATAAGTGAACCTCTAAATACCCCATCACTGGACTTCTCTCAGTTATTCAATTTTATACCAGTAAATGGACCTCCTTTTAATCCTTCTGTTTCTGTGGGAAATCTTGGAATGAGTTATTCACAAGAGGAGGCACACTCATCTATGATTCAGCTTCCTCCACAGGCACAAGATCTTCAAGACCCTGGTAATGGTATTAATCTTGGGTCTCTTCACTCATTATCTGCAGCTTTTACTAGTAGTCTGAACACAACCACAACTCTACCACGTTTTCATCAAGCGTTCCAATAAGATGAGAAAATGGCCTTGTGACAAATGTGTAGAAATGCCTTAGATGACAGTAAATACTGTAGTGCCTACTATGTCATTTGTAAATCTACTTTTGTACAGTATCAGTCTCACTAAGCCAGTATAAAATTCAAATTAACTTTTAAAATAGTTTGAATGTGTTCATTCACAGTTGTTTACTCTGGTTGTTAAAACAATCTGTATCCTCACTGCCAATAGATCCACAATTTTAAAAAAAGTGTATGGAAAAAATATTTCCAGAACATTATGGATCTCTTGTTTTAAAGCTTCATTGAGATTTGATCATTTTTATGGTAATTAAATGTGGCTCTTCTGATAATTTTAAGAAAGAACAAAACAGTAAAACGACACTTTCACCAAAAATGTATAAAACAACTGAGACAATGATTTATGAGTGCATTTGTCACCAATATGAAAAATTGTCCAGCTTTTTACATGTAGACTTCTAAGAAGCTCTGAAGGACCTATTTTTTCTTAAATAATTTCACTATTAGGCATGAAAATGTATTTCTTCATTTAAGTGCAATTACAAAGAAGTGTGATTTGGCAAAAAAAAAAAAAGTATGCCTTATTGGCAACTCTAAATAGAGACAAAATTAAGAGCTTACCTTGAAATATAAATATTTTGGTTTCATCATTCTGTAAATATCTGTCATTTCCTATTGTCATTTAAAAGATGAATCAAAATCTGCCAAAAGGTTTCACATGTTGATTTCTATTTGAAGTTAGAACATGAATGTAAATCCACAAATATATTTTTCCATAATTACATTGGAGCTAATCATTTTTGAGTTATATTTCATGATATCTATTATCCCCTGTGCAAGACCTTTGCTGGTAATCTTCCTTACCACACCTGGATATTTGGCTAGTGATTTTTTTTCAATGCGAAGAATTTAAAACAGGACTCTCAGGAGTGAAGTAAAAGCATATTGCTTATGCCACTTTTACTTAATATTCAAGGTATTTAAAAAAAACTAATAGCAAAACAGCTATTCATGCTGTATGTCAAATTGCTATTCTTTTTCAAAACATATTCTTATATTCCCAATAACCAAAAGAAAGAAAAACTGATATAAAAATGGAAATGTTCGTTTGCTGTAATTTGGAAGCATATCCACTGATACCTTTAGACTTTTAAATCATATAATTATCTCTATTCATTAGTGTGGTTAAATACATGAGTTTTAAGTAGTTAAAGGAAATATATTTAACAGAAACAAAGTTGCTCCCATTAAGGAGCTTTGGCTCCCAATATTTGTATCATAAGTTCCTACTTTATCGTAGGAGCAATATGCAGGTATAATTTTACTATTTTATACTGATGTATTTAAATTTTATTACTGGATAGTAACTTTTTATAAGTGTTTTGTTCCAAAGGCATTAAAATAAGGATGTATTAATAAGGAAAAGACCTTTTCAAATTTTGTAAGCTGCTCCAATATGCTGTGAGAATACTTTCTCAAAGTAGTCATTAGCTCTGCTGCATGATTGCTTCTTTTAGTTTCTGTGAAACAGATTGCTAAAATGTATCTTTAATAGAATGATTTGTTCAATATTGCTTTTCAGGTTTTTAGCACCATTATTTTAATCCCGGGGTAGGGGGATTTCACAAAGGAAAAGGCTTTATCATTTCAAAGGACTCATTCTACAAGAAATGTTTTTTGTAGATGGTGATTACTTTCAACCCTTAAAAACAGAATTGGCTTCAGGCTTCATTGTCTTTATCCCAGTTTTTTTATTACTCATAATTATTTGTGTTCCTAGGAAAATACTGTCATAAGACATATAATTGAAAACAAAGTTTCACTTATTAAAAAAATGAAATGAACCAATTTTAACCTATCAGTTTTTTATATTTATCACCACATTATTTACAATTTTTGACAGGGTTGGTATGTATAAAGCATGTTATAACAATGTTTCAGTATTAGTTGCTGGTTATCTTGTTTTTCTAAAAAATAAGAACTAATTTTTCCAATAATCCTTAATCCATGTTAAAGATCCATATTGTCATGGCAGCTCTTTCAGGTTCTGAAATGGGATTAATTAGAGAATAGGTGCATTTAAAATTAGCAATAGAATTTCAGACAAGATATTGAACCTCATTCAGTTAGTACTTTGGTAAATGGCTACACCTTGTGTGAATGTCACTGAAGATGTATGAATATATGGAAGCGGGATGACAGTGTAGGTATTATTTACACACTAGTGCTTTATGACTATCATTTAAGCAGAGACATTGTTTGGCATCTTTAAAATGTCAATTTTAAAGCCTATTTTATAATTACCAGGTTAACTCTTAAGAATGAAGTGTTGTGTGTGCTGGCTGCTCATGCACCACACTTTGTATGCTACGTGTGTGTGTGTGTGTGAGATTTTATATATATATATATATATATATATATATATATATATATATATATATATATATATATCTTTTGTTTTATTAGTAGTGAATTGTGGAATAGAGTGATTTATTCATTTGACAGTAGAGGTTTCCAAAAACCATGTACTGACATGAGCCAGACCTGATTGCTTTATTAAGCTAATAATGAATGTTAAGAGTACATATTTTCAGGATCTTTTACCTAGTGAGCGCTATATGTATTTTATGCTGTGTGTGCGCGTGTGGTGTTTTAAACTAAAGCTCGATCAATTTCTGTGTTACACATAATACAAGATATAGCACTTTCAAAACAAAAATATAAATCTTATAAAAAATTCTTGCAGGTTATGCTTTCTGTTTTTTTAAAAAAATATTACTTTTTCAAGTGCCATTAGATGACATATGCAGGCTTTTGATATAATGCTTTGGGTACAAGATGGTAAACAGTGTAACTATTAACAGGTACATCATAAAGTATTCTTTTTTATCAATTTGCTCTATTGCACAGAACTAGAGTGTCTTTTTAAAGAGTTTTACAGTAGATTCCTAGGTTTACAATTTCAATAATATCTTTTACTTCCATTTAATATCAGTCCAATAATTGAGTGGTTAACCATATTTAAGTGTATACATCGAACTTGGAGGTTGCAGTCATGTTTTCACAATTGTTAGCTGAATCCCATATAATTCAATGGGAATGACATTAAGCACAGGATTTTAAGCTAACAGCTCAGCCCTGTACATTTTATTTGGAATACCTTTAAAGTTTAGTTAGTGAAATTTATTCTATGCATTATTCATAGGAGAGAAATCTTTAGAATGTTAATAAACAGAATTTCAAAGTGTGATATCCTACCACATGATGCTGTTGTTGAAATTCATAGGTTGAAATCAACATAGGTTGATCTTATGCCTATTAATATAAAGAAAAGGATGAAGCTCTTAATTATTTGTCTCATACACTGGTTGGCCAGGTTAAAATGATGTGCCTCTGAGTACAAAGATCTCTACATTTACATTAAATGTAAATGAATGACAGCTGCCTATCAACATCATATCAGTATACAGTAAGTTAACCACCCATTTGAAATTAGAGATCATTTAAAGTAAGTCATGTTGATTAACATACCCTTCACTTTTATAAAGGTGTCCACATATTGAAAGTCCTTAACTTTCAATAAGTATTTAACCCTAATTAACATAGAACTATTGTTAACTGCATGCAAAGACTTTTCAGTATCCGCATCAGTGGTACAACTGAACCAGAATGAATGTTTATCTTCTCAGAAACACTCCTGCAAATATATTATAGTGGATCATGCTGCTAATATAACTTGGGATACAACTCCTCTCATGGTGCTACAGATCTCCCTGTCTCATTTAGACTGGTGTATTTTTATCCATAGAGAAAGGCCTATATTAGATTTATAGATGTATATTTTTATACTGTGACTTAATTTGTCATTAATGAATTTTGTATACCACATTTTTTTCATATACACTTGCAAGAAGTAGAAACTTGGACATATATGCCCAAATAAACCTATCATCAAAACTAAAATGAATGGAGCTTTTAATATGGTGTGAAGTGAAGAACATACTTGTTTATAAAAGCCCTTAAATATTGACAGACTGGGAATTAACATAAAAAAGGATGACATCTGAAACAAACCTGGATTGCTGAAACTATATTTTTAGATAGTGAGAAATGTTTAAACTTCCGTGCTAAAAAGTTTCAGTGATACAAATTTTTTGAGTCAAAATAGAAAAATGCATTCCAGACTGAATTTGTGTATTTCATTTAAAATTACTATCCTGTGATATGGAAATTTGTGTTGCTTATCATGTATATGTACTTTACAATGTATTCACAAACTACTGTTGTATTTGTATAAAATATAGACAGATTGCATATATATTTTTGTGTATAAGCTCTGTAAAATAGCTATCACATTATGAAGCTGCAGCAGAAATTCATTTTAGACATTCATATCCAAAGAAACAGACTATTTATTGTACACATACCCTGATAAAAATATAACTTGCTGCTATTAAACAATAGTGCTGCAGCTTCTTGCAGCCTACAGTGTTATGTTTGCTGTACAAAAAAGTATGTGAACTCCACAAAATATCAATAAAACTACAAATGGTTTTAGTTATGTACAAAATATGCCTGGATTTAAGCTGCTGTATGTTGTTTATCTGTTGTTGCGGTAACCATTAATGTCTTCGAGCTACTTTTTAAATTTGTGGATAATTGACAACTTTACTGTTTGAAAGAAGAATGATAAATAGCATCACTGCATCATTTGACCCCAGAACACAAGGAGAACTTCTGGGTAAAATGCATTCCCCATATTGAAAATGTCCCCAGAAGTTTTTTCTAAATGAGGAATTTATAGTTTGCCACTAATTATGCTGCATTTTAAAACAAAAGAAAAATTCAAGATAATCTGTAAGGTGTTCTGTTTTTGGCCTTTGAGTCAGTTTTTAACTCATGAAGATTGCCTGGACTAGTCCCTGCAGTTTTCTTGGCAAAGTTTTTAAGAAATGGTTTGCCAATGACTGCTTCCTAGGGCTGAGAGAAAATGATTAGCCCTAGGTTACTGGTTTTATGCCTAAGGTGGAACTGGAATTCCCAGTCTCTGAATTCCTAGCCTGAAGTTTTAACCTCTACATCAAACTGGCTTTGCTATTGTTTGCCTATCTCAAAATGCTTTCAATTTCCTCTCATGATTCAGAAACACAAAACTTGTAAAAGAACATGCAGTTTCTGTTGAGGACAACATTAAATCTTGCACAGCATGTGAGGGTTCCATGTTAATAGTTCAGTCCAGGATTCATTGTTTTTGTGTTTTGAGAATCATAATGAAATGGATATCATGCTTCTGCAAGACTTTGACTTTTAGTCCCTCCTCCATGAAAAGTGGGAAGATTTATCCATGCTGGGGGGAAAGCTCAGAAGAAACAGCCTTAAGCCCTTAAGTTCACAAAATAAAGCTGTGCAGCCCTACATGTGAAAATGTTTCAGTGAAAAATCCCAATTAAAAACAATACCACCAGTATGTCGGCAACTAAAAAGAATTCCTTTTGGGAGATGGGGAAACACAAAAATATGAGAAAGAAACCATCAATTGTTTCCCACAAAATGCTAAGCCCAAAGCAAACTACTTTGTATAATCTGTACATTCAAATAAAAATAGTCTAACCCTGCTGCCTGCAAATTATATAGATAACAATAAAATCTTATTACAGAGAGGATGGTCCGAGAATATTTCAGAAGGATTAGGTTGAGAGCAAGCTCATATTTTTGTTAGATTGAAATATATGAAAGCCATGGTTATAGATGTTTTATAGTAGTATGAGCTCTTTCATTTCTAATCTTAGTGGTCAATCCAGCAATTTGAAAGTATACTAATTACTATGCAAATCTATTTTCCTGACAGTCCTAAATTTCAATAGTAAAACAAATACTCTGTTATACAGTACCTGAACAAATCATTGTGCAAATACCAGATTTAGACTAGTATTGGAAGATTCAATTTATTCAGGTTTCTCACAACATTACCAATTCCTGTAAGCTGAAGAGGCTGAAGTAGCATATATCGTGTTCAATTTCCAGTAGCCAGCCCTATAAAGCAGTGTTTCCCAACACTAGCCATGTTTAGATA